TCCATGCATTTATAGGGTTTCTCTCCTGTATGAGTTCTCTGATGCCGGCTTAGGACCCCCTTCTGCCTGAAGCTCTTTCCACACTCCACACATTTATAAGGTTTGTCCCCCGTGTGAATGCTTTGATGTCGCCTAAGCACACCTTTCTGACAGAAGTTCTTTCCACACTCCATACATTTAAACGGTTTTTCCCCTGTGTGCGTTCTTTGATGTGTAGTGAGTGATCCGCAATAATTGAAACTCTTCCCACACTCCATGCATTTATATGGCTTCTCCCCTGTGTGGCTGCTTTGATGTCCCCTTAGGTGTGCTTTTTGACTGAAGCTCCTTCCACATTCTATGCATTTATAGGGTTTCTCCCCTGTGTGAATCCTCTGATGCCGCCTAAGAACCCCTTTCTGACAGAAGCTCTTTCCACACTCCATACATTTATATGACTTTTCTCCTGTGTGAGTTTTTTGATGACAACTAAGATTCCCTTTCCGATTGAATTTCTTTCCACACTCCATGCATTTATACGGTTTCTCCCCTGTGTGAGTTTTCTGATGCCATCTGAGGTATCCTTTCCAACTAAATCTCCTTCCACATTCCACACATTTATATGGTTTTTCCCCTGTGTGGATACTTTGATGCCACCTGAGGACCCCCTTCTGACTGAAGCTCTTTCCACACAGCATACATTTATACGGTTTTTCCCCCGTGTGCGTTCTCTGATGCATCTTAAGATCCCCTTTCTGACTGAAGCTTCTTCCACACACTATGCATTTAAATGGTTTCTCCCCTGTATGAGTTCTTTGATGGGCAGTAAGGGACCAACAATAATTGAAGCTCTTTCCACACTTCATACATTTATAAAGTTTTTCTCCTGTGTGAATGCTTTCATGTCCCCTTAGGTGCCCTTTCCGACTAAAGCTTTCTCCACATGCCATGCATTTATATGGTTTCTCCCCTGTGTGAGTTCTCTGATGCAGCCTAAGGCTTCCTTTCTGACTGAAACAGTTTCCACACTCCATGCATTTAAATGGTTTCTCCCCGGTATGAGTTCTCTGATGCATTCTAAGGTCCCCTTTCTGAGTGAATCTCTTCCCACACTCCATGCATTTAAATGGTTTCTCCCCTGTGTGAAATCTCTGGTGCTGCATAAGGTTCCCTTTCTTACTGAAGCTCTTTCCACACTCCATGCATTTATATGGTTTCTCCCCTGAATGAATTCTCTGATGCAGCCTAAGGCTCCCATTCTGACTGAAGCTTCTCCCACACTCCAAGCATTTAAATGGTTTCTCTCCTGTGTGAGTTCTCTGATGCAACCTAAGGTTCCCTTTCTGACTGAAGCTCTTTCCACACTCCATGCATTTAAACGGTTTGTCCCCTTTGTGATTTCTTTGATGCAGCCTAAGGTTCCCTTTCTGACTGAAACACTTTCCACACTCCAGGCATTTATATGGTTTCTCTCCTGAATGAGTTCTTTCATGTAAAGCAAGGCAAGAACTGAAAGTGAAGCTCTTCTCACATACTATACATTTACACGGTTTCTCCTCTTTGCTGCTGCTTTGATCAGAAAGTGTTCCACAATTGCTGAAATATCTTCCAGGGTCCATGCCTTGATACCATTTTGATCCTGACTGGATTAAGCCGTATCCTTTTGATTTGCAATCTGTATCCTGAGAGATTAAGAATTTTCTTTTTCCTTTTCTGGGCTGCTTGTGCATATCAGTCTTTGTTCCCTCTGGATTTCCAAATCTCTCTCTTCTTTCCTCAGGCTCCTTAACTTTGCATGGCGCAATGGATAGCTTCTGGCAGTTCTCATCCTCCTGATCACCACCTAAATTTGGGAGAAAAACTGAGAAGTAATCTCCTGCTATGGAATTTTAAAGAGAGTCATGAGCTTTAAATAGAGATTGAATTATTAACTCTTTTGTTTTTAACTGTCTCAAGGATTATCACCTTTTCCATTCTGTGCCCCCTGCTAGAACTAGATCACCTTCTCAATAATCAAGTTATCTCTAACAGTGATAGGAATCTGTTTCTGGAAGGCAGCATTTTTAGTTTTACTAGACAAAGACTGCAAACAGAAGAGGAAGAAAAGAAAAAGAAAGAACTGGAGCCAGGGTTTGGGAAGCAGCAGTAAACAAACCCTGGAATAGTTAACTACAATTAATGTAGTTCTAGTTAAAACCTCGGATCAATAAATATAGCAAAGGTGTGTGCTATTGTTCTTTCTGTATTAGGGTTGTGTGTACCTGGATTCTTCTCTGAGCCTGGATGCCCAGATTCTGGTGGTGGCCAGGAGTGTCTTTGCACAGCTAAAACTAGTGTGTTAGCTGTGACCATTTCTTGAGAGGTCTGATTTGGCCCCAGGTGCACATACCTTAATTACATCCCAACTGGATTATTGCAATGCACTCTATGTGGAGCTGCCTTTGGCCAGTGTTCAAAAACTTCAATGGGTCCAAAATGCAGCCAGATTGTTAACTGAGGTTGGTTACAGGAATCACATAACCCTGATGTTCTGGATGTGCCACTGGCTGCCCATCCATTTCTGGGTACTATTCAGAGTGCTTGTCCAACTGAGGATCCCGAAGGGAGAAGGAAAGAAGCACAAGATCTCCCAATATCCCCAACAAATTTCTTTGCTGGAGGAATGAAAGAGAACTCCAAGGAAGAAAGAACAGCCTGAGTCCCACCTTGAGGAACCATCTGCTACTCTAAAGCTGGGGGAGGAAAAAGTAAAGGCAGTGCCAGTCCCAGGAGACAAAGACACCAATGAAATGGGAGCCCCAGCAGTCCTCCAGAAGAACCTCCCAACACACCTACCCTTGTGGTGGACATGCCACCCATAGTTGCTGAGGGCAGGATGGTTGCAAAGTCCTCTTGAACTAGCAGTTCATTCTTCACTGACAACCACGAGTAGAACTAGGGCCATCAGAGACAAATCTGTTCCCTTTAAACAGAGAGATCTATCTAGTGCTTGTTATGAGGGAGGCAAGTGGTTCCGGAGAAGACTGGCTGATCAAAATGTGAATTCTGTTGGTGGACTCAACACACCTTGTGGCTGATTATTCCTACTGATTAATCACAAGCTGAATTATTAAGAGAATTTCTTCAGTAGTCCCACAACACATACCTAAGTAGGTTCCTGCCCATCGCCTCTGTTCAAATGGATCTTCTTCTTCCAACCAGCCGATGAGGTCTGGTTTGGGGATGTCTTTCAAAGAAAGAGACAAGCTGGTCACTAACAAATTTCCCAAATAATCTGGTTGCTATAAATCCATCTCCTTACTGATTACTGAAACATTCTTCTGCTATTAATCTAGTCCTCCAAGCAAGACACACTAGAAACAACAGTACTGTCAGACTAAACACTGAATCCTGGGTGTGTGTAGAACCTCCAAAAAAACTAGCTGAGTATGCTTCTTAAAGACGGGTTCTCTCTCAATTACATTTTTTTCATTTCTTAGTTGTGATCTATCCCACTATCACAGCCAAACACTGATCCAGTACTCCTACCACCTCATATGTTCTAATGGGAGGAATCACCTTTTGAAGATCAACCTGTATATGGCCCACCCTCTTTCTGGCTACATCCATCTTAGTCCTGCCCTTACCTAGAATGAGTACCTACTCTCTAGTTTAAATTTAGAGCTGCCTGGTCCTTGTGCCTGGCATGAGCTGAACTCGGCCCTGCCTTGAGCATAGATTTACCTCTCCTGAATTAACTGCATGAGAAAGGAGAAGGGAGAAACAGAGGGGCATGCAACTGGCATAATGAGGCTTCTTGTAGAGCTGAAGAAGTAAAGGGGATAGATCACAACCCTTAGGATCCCCAAACCATAAATATGAAAAGATGAAATGGAAAAGGAATTCTCTAAGCTCCCCTTCTGGAGTTGGCCATGAAGGGACAAGTCAAAACACTGTGGAAGTGCCCTCTTTATCCCAAATGGGGACAGGCCCTCCGACAACCAGGTGTTATGGGAGATCAGCATTTTGTGGAACAATCAGAAAGTGGGAAAGACGTGCATCTGATCGCACAGGAAAGAGTCTCTTCAGAGGGAGCAACTGCTCTTACAGTTACCGTTATGCCTGTGAGGAAACTGCTCAGACTGGCCCCCTTAAACTGTAGCTCAACTGCTGGACCAAAAAAGTCCAGCTTGAGGACATATTGAAGTTAGGTTGGAGCACTATTTCCTTCAAGTGGTGCGATTACCAGAAATAGCTCACATTAGACAGTGCCACAAAATGTGAGTGACTATATATGCCCATTTTCAAGCAAAAAACATACTTTAACATTCAAGCCTCACACAATAAAATACAGACAGTGGAATATGAAACTTCAACCATCTTAACATTTGTCATAAATGTAGAGGATTAATGGGGAACCACACATTCTCATGGAAAGTTGTTGTTGTTTAGTCGTTAAGCTGTGTTCAACTCTTCATGACCCCATGGACCAGAGCACGCCAGGCCCTCCTGTCTTCCACTGTCTCCCAGAGTTGTGTCAAATTCATGTTGGCAGCTTCGATGACACTGTCCAACCATCTCGTCCTCTGACGTCCCCTTCTCCTCTTCCCCTCACACTTTTTCTCACTTTCCCAACATCACAACTGCCTTTACCTTTGCACACACACCACAGAAAATCACTGAATGCTTACATCTCTTTTTTTGCTGGGCTTTACAAGGTCCTACTACACCATGTGGAAATGAACTTCCGCAGAATGTTGACCTGTATTTATTTATTTAAAATGCTTTAACCCACTTTTTTCCTTAGTAAAGGACCCAAGGTGGCTGAGAACATTATAAGACATTATTTAAGAACAAAACAATGAGTATACAAAGGTGGCGTACATCATTAAAAGGCAATATTTAAAGTTAAAAACATTAAATATACAAACATTAAAAGGAAACAAACAACTATTCTGATTCAATGTTGGCAAATCAGCCACCAGTGCCACCTGTGGCCCACCCACCAAGAAAGACATCAACAAGACCTTCAGTCACACTAGCCACTGGCAGGGATTCTGTCCTTACCCTGAGAGGCTACCATCCTGTAGATATC